AGCGCTGTGTTTAGACTAATGCTTCAAGGCGTCACCTGCTTACATAGCCGAGATACCGGGTGCTCATATTATAAGGCAAGGTTATAAAACCATCTTTTAAGATCATTTTAGTGAAAGTTTCATCCTTCAAAGCGTACCATTCACTGCTCAAATACTAAACAACCTGCTTCCATTGAAGATATAAAGGGGGTTCATATTATAAGGTAAGGTTATAAAACCACCTTTTAAGATCATTTTAGTGAAAGTTTCATGTTCCTATCTCATAGAATTTAAGAACAATGATGAATAAATAATTTTCGAGCAAAATTTAAATGGCCGGCTGAATATATTACCGCAGGAGCCGCGGCCGCGGAATTTAAATGACCACGTCAAAGGGTTAAGGAGGGAGCAGTGGGAGTGGTTGGAGAAAAACTGAGTTACAGGAAGGTAGGTGAGACCAACCACAGTTGTTGCAAGCACAGCCCTCAGAAAAGAAGAAATGGCGGTATGCCTGTAGGCCATTTGGAATGAACAGCCTTAAGGAGGGAGTAATGTAACATGATACCTGAAAGCCGGAATAGTGGAGCCAGAATGGACGTCTATTGTTAGGCAACTGCTTCGTAAATATGTTTCTGTGACAACACTCAACAATGGAACTATTGTTGAGAGATGGTGTTTTCGGTCAGTTTGCCCCGACACCATACAATGGGGATCTCAGGCAGCTGAGAAATCAGAATTGAGAGAGTCTCTGGATATGACAAGAAATGAATTAGACTGCGAAAAGAAGACTTCATGTGTGCTGCAGTTACAGTGAGACTGTTATAGTTCCTGTGTTAAAATTCGTTACCAGGAATTGACTAGAAGATAGTGTAACAGACTTATAACACTAGTGTGTGTGTAACAGTAAATTGAAAGTATGGAGATTAGTGATAGATCTGTAATTGTGTGTTGTTATGAGCGTGTATAAGTGTTGTTATGAGTGTATAAGCGTGCACTAAAATCCATTCATCAATCCAAAACTCTGTCTGTAAGTCATGCACACCCCCAAACACGTGACAATACTTAGAAACTGATAAGAAAGGCCACACTAAATTATAAATATTCAATTTAATACAACAACTCTTCATACACATCATTAAGGTTCATTAGTAATTATTTTTGAAACTGCAAAATCATAAGTTATTTATAGACTGGGGGTGGGGTCTCAAATTTTTTTGCATCGAGACAGCTTCAAACTAAGAGTCTGGGAACCGCTGACTTAAGAGCATGAGATCAAGTTTGTCACACAAAATAAGATTATATCAGCCAGATATTTCAGAGGCACTGGTCCTTGTGTGTGTGTGTGTGTGTGTGTGCACATGATCAGTTGGAAATAAATCATATTAGTTAACTTTCATCTGGTTGTATGGTAAGACATCAAAGAAAAATGCTGGCCATGGAAAACAGGAGGGGGATGCAAATATAATTTCTAGCACTGAGTTCTTCCCATTCATCTGTCATTTCCCTTTGTGTAATCTTGCCTACCAGCAGTGGTAACACGGCTGCCTCATTCACAACATACATCAACGAAGAGCAGACCACAGTTACTCAATTTCTGTGATCTGGGGTGCTGAAATTGAAACTGAAGTGTTTTGTTGCAATGAACGTCACTGCAATGTTACAAAATGGTCAGCTGTCATAAAAGCAGAAGAATCATGGCATCATACCACATCAGTGACTGAAGCAAACATGGATTAAGTTCATAATGACCTATCAATGAAGTTGCAAACCACTTGCAAATTTGTCACATGTCCACCTATCAAATCATCCATCACTAATTTCCCTCCATGAAGTTTGCAGATGGGCCCCCTTACCTTACAAAACAACTTTTGGATAAAATATTTAAACATCTGAAGCACCTTTTTCGACTGGTATGATGAGAAAGGTAACTTTCTTTTCTCAGCACCACTGTCATTGGTGCTTAAATGGCGATCCACCACATCATTAGATGCATAGAAGCAATGTCAGAGTAGGGAATAGAACATATGATGTCCCCTACCATCAACATCAGGAAAAAATACACTCATACCTGGGGTTTACAATGCATGAACCTCATCCAGAAAGGTGTATGACAATGAATATTGCATATTATTGTTACATGCTGTATGAAGAGATGAAGCCAGTGACTTGAAATAAATGGTAATGATGACATTCAGTGTTGTATTGGTGCATGACAATACCTGTCCCCACACTGCTACCCACACTGTTCGAACATTCCGGCAACCATGCTTTTAAGATCAAAGATCCACCATACAACCCTGACCTTGCTTTACCAAAGGTGCATTTTTTATTCATTTTACTACAGCTTTTCTGTCTTTGTGACAATCATGTGTTTGGACCATTCAAAGAGGCTATCATTTTGCAATGATCAGTGCTGAAAGATGCAGTGCATATGTGTCTTGATGCTCAGCCAAAAACATTTTATTCTGAAAGCATACAAAAGCTTGTGCAAGCTGGACTAAGTGTTCAAAAAGTGAGGAGAGAACTTTAAAAATGATGCAATTGAGAATTCTGAAATGTAGTTATTATGTAGTATAAGAAAATACACTGCAAATACTTTTCAACTTACCTATGTAAGTGAGGTACCCAAACAGGCATTCATTATGGGACCAGAGAACATCAAATAATTTATCAACAATGGAACAGCAACTAAAAGCCATTTCAATGTGTTCTCTTGCTACCATTACCTTTGCAATTTACACAGTTAACAAAATATCCTAATGGAGCTCCTTCTGTGGAAGGATTTTATGTTCGACTACGGACAAGGAAAATACATAAAGGAAATAACAGTGGTGGGAAACAGTCCTGCAAAAGCAACACTTGAGTTACAGCACAGAATATGTACACAAATGTACATATGTATGGTATGCTCTTTTCACTCTGAACAACAGAAACAACAATGATGATTATTAGTATTTTAAAGTAGCGAATGGTTATAACAGATTTCTGCAACAAATTTAATTTCCACATGATGGAACGATTCAGTTCACTTGCTGATTTATACGACATTTTGTCAATTGTCAAGATTAGTTAAATTATAATTAGTGAAGACTCATGGTATGTCCTACATGCTGTAACTTGGAATTAATTATACATGTATGTATATTACGTATTACGTAGCATGGAATAGTTACTGGGCAGGTTGCCACACAGAATATATGGCATATTTATATCGTGCAAGATAGATTTTATGACACTTGTGACAATCAACCATTAAGTTTACAAAATGTTTTCATAACATGTAAGCTAATGTTAGGCTTATTACAATGTGTTTAGATTAAATCTACAGTGAAGTCCAGACAGGTGAGTAACATGTTTCCTATGCAAAATGGTCTAAAACAAGCAGATGCTTTATCATCACCATAGCTTCTCAAATCTGCCATTAGGAAGGTCCAAGAAAACCAAGTGAGGCTGAAACTGATTGGAACCCATCACCTTCTGGTCTATGCTGATGACATAAGCCTACTGGGAGACAACATAATACCACAACAAAAACACAAAAGCTCTAATTGATGTTAGTAAGGAAGTAGGTCTAGAAATAAGCAGAGTATAAAGTCAGTGTATGTTGGTGTTCTGTCACTGGAATGCATGGCAAAATCATGACATAAAGATAGCTAACAGATTCTTCCAAAATGAGGCAAAGTTTAAATATTTGGGAATTATGGTAAGAAACCAAAACTCGATTCCTGAGGAAATTAAAAGCAGATTAAATTTGGCTAGTGCTTACTACCAATAAATTCAGAACCTACTGTCTTCTCATTCTGCTACCTAAAAACATAAAAATCAAAATGTACAAGGCTGTAATTTTTTTTTCCTGTAATTCTGTATGGGTGTGAAATTTGGTCTCTCACATTAAGGAAATTGAGGGTGCTGGAGAACAGGATGCTGAAGAGAATATCTGGATCCAAGAGGGATTAAATAACAGGAGGCTGGAGAAAAATGCATAATGAGGACCTTCATAATATGTATGCTTCCCCAAATAAAATAATCAACTCAAGGAGGATGAGATGAGTGGGGATTGCAGCATGCATGGGAAAGAAGAGGAATGCATACAGGGTTTTGGTGGGAAAGCCAGAAGGACAGAGACCATTAGGAAGACCTTGACATAGGAGCAGTTAAGAGAGGACAGTTTGTTAGTGACAGGATATAATATATAATTCAAAGAGGTCACTGATGTGCTGTTGTTGTTCTGAATGTGTATGCTCCAAATGAGGATACACATTATGACAAAAATGATAGCTTCTATGAGGCACTAGATCATGTATTTGATCAATTCCCTAAAAACCACACAAAAATACTGTTTGGAGATTCAATGAAGAAATAGGCAACATAACGTATTTTCAAACCAATGACTGAGAATGAGAGTTAACATGAAATTAGTAAAGATAATGGGGTTAAAATCAAAAACTCTGTCACATCCACAAATTAAACTGTTATCCCACATTGCAACATTCATAGATAGAGTTGGACATCTGATGGGAACACACATAATCAGATTGATGAGGTATATATGATGTCCAATACTTTGAATGAGATAACTGTAATATTAAGTACTAGTTGAGATCATTGTTACCAAATTTAAGCACAATTTTATCTAACATTCCTCTCAAGGTTTACACACAATTTTTTATCAGATGCTTGACCTACAAGTAACTGCATAAAAAATGAGGTATAAGCTATGCCTTGACATCTAGGACTCAGGACAAAATCACAAGGGGGGGGGGCGAGGGGGAAGCATGAGATGAGTGGGGCATGGGACAGCGAGACACATGTAGAAACCTTTAGTTGGAAAACTGAAGGAAAGATGACTTGAAAGTAGGCATACATGGGAGATATGGTGAAAGAGAGTGGCCCAAACTCATCTGACTACAGGTACAGACTGGTGTGAGGCACTTATGGACAGGGTAATAAACTTTCAGGTTCTATAAAAGATAATTTCTTAAATAGATCAGAGACTGTTAGCTCCTCATGAAGGACTCTGCTTCATGGTGACAGTGTTGTATACATAATTAGAAGTTACGAGATGGACTTGAGGATCATGTACTTCAACCATTTTTGGATATTATGATTTAGAATGGGCATCCTTATGAATTTCATACCTTCTTGTTACATCAAGGTCACAACGTAGATAATTACACTAATTCTTCCTCTGTCACAAAACGATGTATGGAAACAAATCTTTATGTGGGACCAAAGTCTACTAAATTTATTTGAACACAGAGTAATGTGACATTAAATGTTAGACTATTAGCAATCCTACATCCACCACTGATTTATGTTAAATTTGATCAGTAGTGCAATGGAAAACTTTAACTATACTGACGAAAAATGGATCCATTTTAAAGTACATATTCAGCAAAAGTGTAATATATTTGTTATTTTCTATGTATACACCTGAAAACAGGAAGCAAGATCAAAATATGTCGTGTTTTGAATCTGATATGATAAATAGATTGATTCACTGGTATATTCAATACAATCACATATTATATAATGGAAAAATATCAAGTTTTGTGCAATGGAGCAGAAACCTTGGCTATATAACTCACCCCTATCAACACTTGAAACATCTTGACTATCCATCACAGTATCCTCTTCATCTGTCATACGCCTGCGTTCATCTCGGCGGTGATCACGACGAAGTGGCTGGCGCGATGGATGTGTGTTTGGCCTCGGACCTGTTTGGTACTGGTGTTGCCGTGGTGGCAAATCTCTCACACGTTCATCTGCAGTGTCTGGTGTCTGATGGCGTGAACCTGTGATGTAAAACAGTTAATAGGTGCAGGCAAAGTATTATCATATAAATATGAAAATAATTATATATCACATTTCAAAACACATTCAGCATGTGTACTTCACAAATACTTATAATAAAACAGTCAATAGCAGTTTTTTTTGCCAAAGACGTCCTTCTGCCTCTACTGATAAGACATGTTCTGATATAAAAAACAAACAGAGAATGGCCTATTAAAATCAAAAGTAAACTTAGAATATTAAAACGGGAATTTTATTCGCTACAGGCTGTCTGATTCCAGAGAAAGCCACTTCTTATTAAAATAAATGCAAATACAACTAAGAATGGAATTACTCTGAAGAAAAAGTAAAGTTTAGAGGCTTGTTATAATAAGATAAAGGTAATGCTGCCCCTGTGCTTAATTATCCCCCTCCCCAGGAAAAAAGCCCCTGGTACCCATTGCATAGGAGTCTGAGTGGACCTCAGAGATGGTCTGGACACTGTGGAGTAGACAAAAAATGTTTGCCCCTGCTGGGAATCAAACCACAGCTGTCCAGCATGTAGGCCATTACTATACCAATAGAGTTATCCCAACTCTTTGCTATAGTAAGGGGCGATGTGATTCATGCATATTTGAGCTATAACATAATTTCTAATAAAAAAACAACTTATGGGCACTGTGTCACTAATTAAAAAAAGTCAGAAAGAGTATAGCTGTAACTATTTTACACACTGCATTAATAAAGCAATTCTACACTCAGAAAATAATGTCAATGGCATCAGTGAACTGCTGTTCATAACAGCCCTGATGAACAAATTAGAAAAAGTGTATATCCCATTCTATAAAGGCCTTCTGAGAAGATATATTTCTCACTGGAGTTTCAAGTAATACTGAATCCTGTTTATTTCCTATCAGGGTCTACTATCGAGGTGACTAATAGCATTAGCTGTGTGTCTATATGTAACTAATCATATTTTCTTGCTGAATGTGCTTGAAATCAATAGATGGTGTATACTGATAGTTTACTCAAAAACAGCTCACTGAAATCAATGGTAAACTACAAAAATATTATGACAGCTCATTCATTCATGACCTGCTGCATAACTTACAGTCAGGCAACATTCAACAAGTTATTGCTATGATAACTTGAAACTGTGTTAATTTCAGAGCTTTCACTCACTATTACAAAACCTTTTATATGTATAGGAAGACATGTCACAGTGTAGAAGGAAAAGCCAGAAGAGAGGGAATAAGAAACAAAAATTAAAGAGAATTTAAAGACAAATACCTTGGAGGAAAATAAAAATATGGTATGGACACATTTTAAGAATAAAAATATAATCCCAAAGACAGTTCTGAACATGGACAGATGACCCACATAATGTGGAAACATATAGGGAAAATGTTATACGTAGGTCAGTCAAAAAGTTCCCAGAATTCTCCTGCAGATGGAGAACGAGTGACAAGATAGTGCACACACTGTTGTGGTGGGAAGCTCAGCATGTCTGCTCGCAGGCGCAACAGGTCTGGAGGGGTTTCAGTGTGCAGTGTTGTTACTGTTCCGTTTGAATTAGACGTGAGTGTTGCTCATTCGACACAATGTTGCAGTTCGAACAGCGTGCGAAAATCAAGTTCATGGTGATACTGCACTAAAAAAATCTGAAGTTTATGACTGGTTTTCCCGGTTTAAGAATGGGCAGGAGACGTTAGAGGATGAAAAGTGCAGCGGGAGACCTTTGACATCCAGAACTGAAGAAATGATTGGAAAAGTGTGACAACTGATTCGATATGATCAAAGAATGACCATCGCGGAGTTGGTACTGTTACTGGCGATTTTTACGTGCAAGTTTTGCAGAGGTTGCGTGATGTGGTTTGGAGGAAGTGGTGCAACAAGTGGCAGGGACAGTGGTTTCTGCATCACAATAACGCACCGAGCCACACATCACTTGTTGTGCAGCAATTCCTCGCTGAGGAAAACATTCCTGTCATCACTCAACCATCGTACTCTCCAGATCTCGCTCCAAGTGACTTTTGGCTGTTCCCTCTTCTGAAAATGGGCCTCAAGGGGACATGTTTCGCAACCACGGAGGACATCAAATCGAATGTGATGGGTGAGCTCTGGAAGATTCCAAAATAAGCCTTCCACTGCTGCTTCCAACAATGGCAGGTTCGATGGAGCAAGTGTGTGCATGCGCAAGGGTCCTACTTTGAAGGTGATTAGGTAAGCGTTGCTGTATGTCCTACCATTAGAGTGCTATACCACCATTCTGGGAACTTTTTGACTGCCCCTCGTATAATGCTCTTCACTGTAACCTCATTTATTTTCCATTAAAAGAGAATTTCTACTGGTTTTGCTGACAGTTTCTAAACATACTGGAACAAACACAATATCTGGGATTAGTATGCCAGAAGCATGAGATTATGATATTACATAAGAAATCTGAATGCATTACTACCTTTGGTTGTAGAAACATGTTACCATGGTTACCAATAATAGGCAATGGTTTGAAAGAAGTCCTCTACAGCCTGATCAAGGGATGGGAGGAATGCACCTAGGTCTTGTCCGAGAACACAGCTTGGCCTGTGAAGAGTCTGAATCACTGCTGGATTGTTACACTGAAGTTAAGTCCATGTTACTTGTAAAATTGCCTTCGACATGTATAAAAGAAAGAGAGACCCAACACATGATATTGTATTATTTTATTCAATGGCACAAGCAGGGAATCCCCACAGCCACTAGTGACTTCAAAGAAAACTCATGTTTGCGCATATTTCAATCTGTAGCATTCCTATTAATCCACAGGTGGCAAAATACGCAAAGTTCTTTATAGTTTATCTTTCTGGTGAAGAGGTTAATCAAAGGCCTGCAATTATTACAATTGTGTGAAGACAATTTCTATTCTTTTAGGAATAAGGAATGGGGATTTTAGGAAGTTGCAACATGTTAGTTGACAGTTGGACTCGAACATACTTTTGGCATACCCTTTCAGGCTTCAAAACTTTTTATGGCTTATCAGCACCACACCATGCAAACAAAGATGCAGTTAAACCATGCAGGAAATCAAGGTTAGTAACAGATGACATTTGTTCACTTCATTTCCAAGCTGTAAATATGAATTTTGATCCAAATCTTCCAACATATATGCTACTGGCTTTTGTATACTAGTTAATTTTGTGAAAGAACCAAGTCCCCAGCTGAAAGGGTAGCACAAGTTTCGAGTCTGAACTCTTCAACTCTGCAACAGAGGCTCACATTAAATCAATAAGACACTCTGTAGTTTTTTAAGTCACTGTACAGTAGTTTTTATTTTTATTTATTAGAAAAATTTCTGTAAATAATAAAGAGGTACGATAATACGGAAAAATGCCCTCAATTCCGTAAACTGGCAACATTTTTGTCAATTGTTGTTTCTTCTTTCAAGCAATCTTGAACAATTACAATTACAACCATAATGAAGTTGTTTCAATATACATTTTCAGTATCCTTTATGCACAGACTGAATGGCCTAAACCAATCAATCAAACACACTTTAATTCTCGTGTAACTAGAAAGCCATCTATAATTTATACCCTTCCAGCTTGGTTTCAGTTTCTTTCAAGTTTTGGGAGCAAATAGTATAGCCAGTATAAAATTGATGTAGAGGTCGGAAAAAATCTTCACCAATATGCATGCCTAAACCATACAGCTCCAGCTCTATAGATGGCAATGACATCTCACTGAATGTTCATCCCTTAGCCATACTCTGGTATTAATATGTACAATAAGTTAATTCCCTGAGAGTAAAAAGCACTAAGGTAAAAATCTTCACATCTTTAGTAATAATTATTTTCAGTCTCTACCCTATTACAATTTGTTTCAAATGTGAAGCTTAATCTCCGACCTCTTACCAAATGCAGCATATTCATGAACCACCACACAAATTCCAACTTGTTACATAACAGAAACTAATTAACAATCTGTCATTAATTACTTGTATTAGATGGACTATTTGCAGATATATTACAAAATTTTTGGACAACACAGAAACCCAATTCCATGTCATAAAACTAAGATCAGATTTTAAAGAATGAGATGATGTTCAATGAACATGTACACTGCAGAAAACTTACTAGCATCCATCTGAACACCACAGAATATAACAGTCAAATTTAAAACAAATATACATATAACTCTACTACTTATTTTAAACATTACTTTACTATTAAACTAAAGAGAAAAATAAAAAGACAAACCAACCATTACCTTCACCAAACATGTTTACAAACAACATTTACCGTTTCATAGCAATCTCACATGAATTACACTGCATTTGGTTTCATTCCTTATGTCAATATTACAAACATTATTAATATTATGAAGCCTACAGTCGAGAATGAAGTGATACAAGTCTGTATTTGGAACTGTGCAGCATATTTGAGTAATGAACAGAGCAGATGGAGGCAGTATGAACAGTTTCTGTATCATGCAACTTGAAAATATAATTTACACAGCACTACCTTCAACATATTGACACAGAAAATAAAATCAACAATCACCATACAGTCATGCTGTTAAATTTATTTTCAACTCAGCAGGAGTTTTGTTATATTTCTGGGGCTGGGAATGAGGATGACATGCCCCACACATTGATTACTCGTGTTACTAACCCTATCTGGTTTCCTTGTAATAAGAAATCCTGCATAAAATATGCTACACGTTTCCTCATGTCATATTTCATCTAATATTATAGGCCAATACTTCTTCATATTGATAATCTAATTTCTTTCAACAAAAAATGGAACACACATACTGACAGAATAGTATCTCTATCAAGAACAGCATTTAAACAAGAAACAATTTTATTTTTAAATTTACCTCATTTTGATCCTTTGAAGTACATTTCATGCTTTAACATGGGAGTTGCAACATGATGCATGGCAAAATTTTAAGTGATACTTTGTGTTACCATGCATCAACTGTGAATAAATCTCTGTTACTTGACAAAGGGCAAGTATAGCATATTGCTCCCATGAAAAAGTTAATCATTAATTTCATCTTGTGTAAGAAGTATGTACACCCATTTCATGTACAGATGATATGAAGACTGAATGTGGGACTGAATTTTAATGAATATAGGGAGCATACTACAACACTTTACAAGTGAGACTGAAATTATCTAGAACCTCATTTAAAAGTATTTATATTTAAGATAGGTTAAACTAACATCCCAATTACTGAACAAAACAAGAACAAACAATAAGTCACAGAAATACAGTATACTGTTAACTTTTATAGCAAATCCCACAGCCCATTTTGTAATACAGCCTGCACATTAAAACCAAATGAAAGAATAATAATATAATTGTACTGCGCGTGAAATTCAAAGAAATGTTTTTGCACAACACAGCCAGAAAATAATCTGCAAAAGTTGTTCCAGGAATTTTATAATGAGGCAGTAATATTTCACAGACTCTTCAGCACACTGTGCATTTGCAACAATTATAATTAAAATACACTTTAATGCAACAAGGCAATTACATTTACAGAGAATATGGATAATTAAAGTCATGGACAGCTGTCAACTATTAGTTTCCTTGCATGCATATATTACTAGGGATGCACAAGTCTTGAATTTTTCAGATCGAATCAAGAAACACTTTTCAGTCTCTATTCATACACTAATTTTGCTTTTCCAGACTTAGACTTTCCTGATACCAACTTCTGCTTTGCACATTGGTGTCATGTCAAAAGGAATCAGTATTGTATCTGCCTGAATGGATGACTAGTTTTCTCCCCCCACTTTTAAGGTTTAAAAACTCTGTCATCATCATGAATTTGAATGCTATATGTTCATGCAATGTTTTAATTGGTTTTAAGCTTTTAGCAGGTTTACGGTGCAGTTTTCATCATGGATAACTTATTTGCTCTGGTGTGCTATGGCAGTAGCAAGTGAGAAAGTTAAAGAGAAATATGTTTCAAGTCAGAAGCTGTGAGCTGTCACAATGTTGCTCAAAGAACAAATCAAAAGTTATGAAACAAATGCAGTAATTAACTAATTTATGATATCAAAGGTTTCTGTGCTGACATGTCACTCAACATAAAAGTGTTAGATTATACTGTGAAATGATGGCTGAAAGCCAGAATAGTTTAATGGGAAGAATATTAAGAACAGAAGTACTGTTGTGAATATGAACAAAAAAGTAAAACAAAAAAAGTAAAGCTATCCCTGTAACAGGTCGTGAAGGCCCATAGGATTGTGAGACGTTGAGGGTCCAACATTATCTAGACAATCGGTTCAAAGATGGTGGTAAGGTTGACAGCCTTGTGCATTGGTTGCGCTTTACTCCACATAAAAATTATTTAATTAATTCCTGGTACTCATTTCTGTTAGAGGCTGAGTCGACCCAAGGGCCATAGTGCAGCTGGAAGGATTAGGTCAATTGAAAAAAATCCAATGATCTTATCAGGACTAGAACCTGCGACCTTCCAGCTTGTAGCATAGTGCCTCAACCAACTACAGTACCGCATGCCTATAGATAGATACCTATGTGGCTAATAATCATGTGTTAACTCTTTGACTGGCGCGGGCGTGTTTTAACGCCCGGATGATGCCAGCCGTTCCCTGGCGTTGGCGTGTTTTAACGCTTTGACAATCTCTTCCCTTCTTTGCTCTCTTGGCACTCATCAACCAAAGACATATATATGATAGTTTTTGTGCATGTTTGTAAAGAACCCTTGTAAACTTTGTGGGGGTCTACATTACTGTCAGAACCCTCTGAGAAGGAAAAGGTCAGAAAATATTTCACATTCATTCAGTTTCACCATGGCTTCTTGCAGCAAGTGTCTTCGTGTTCCTACAGACCAGCTGGAAAATGTTGTGAACGAGATTTGTTCTGATGATGATAGTGGCGATGAAATAATGATTCCTGAATTGGATGAAGTTGATAGTGACAATAATACAGTGACAGACAATGATCCACAAGACAGTAATCATGAACATT